CGGAATACGAATTGTTTGACAGTTCAGATGGGGTGGGGGAATAGACCAACTAACGTGTTTAGTTAGCGTGACTGTGCTAATTTGTTTGCATAGTTTAATGCGTGGTATTCCTTGGAAATGTCATAACAATGGCGTCATGAGGTCGCCCAACTACGCAGTCCAGCTGCCACAAGGCGTGGGCGACCATATCTATATCGATGACATCGAACTCGAGGAGTGTCGGTCCAAGGATGGATGGTATGGGACCTCCCGATGTCGATGATCGAGGAGTTGACAAGTGTGTCATTTAAATATTTATTATAATCTGACTGACACAAATAGGTTAGGCTGTCATTGCAAAAAATAAACACTTCAGAATAGATTCGACATTATCTCTTACTATTTATTTTCAGGATATTAACTATATTTTCTATGAATGCGAAGCTCACATGGGATGTTTTATTATGATTGACAAAAGTTGGTCAAGGTTAGGTTATCTTTCCAAAAAGCTTCGCTATAGGGTGTTCAAATCGTTATTTTTAGGATATTAATATATCAATTTTATTAGATGATTATATACTATTACATTTTATTTTAAACCTTTTAAATAAATTCTATAGAAAACAGCTAATAGTAATCTACAACGAATGGAAAGAAGAACATGAACAAAGGACCAGCGGACCAGAGGAACCGGAAAATCAATCAGCATTCAATTCAATCACAGAGGCCCAATTGATTTGTAACCTCAATACAACTTGTCTCGTTGACACCAATCAAACTGGATCGAGGAGGAGTCAAATCGATTTGTTTATTTTAACCGAGTTTCAATTCAATTGGCCGTCAGGCATAGGCATTTTTTTTTCAATTTACAAGCCGAGTGACCATGGCGCGCCCCATTTTTAGTGGCGTCATGCGGTTTCTGGCCCTGTTATCGTTGCGCGTCTAGAAGCGCAAAAAAGGGGCTCGGCTGTGGGTTTACTGTTCTGGTACTTTCGACTGCATTACCAGCAGGTTGAAATACGAATTTATATTTTGTGGTTAAGCATAAAACCTAAACCTCCAACTGTCTCACATTGATATCAAATTATAAATATTATAAATAAACTTAAAACTGTATTGAACTTTAGTTTTTGTTATATTCAGTAGACATACTTTAAAAAAGTTATTAATTAGAAATGAAAACTAATTCCGAAGTAGTCAAAAACTGCAGGGACTTGTCGCTATAGGTCGCTTCCTTTGGGTGGAAACTTAAGAACCGACTGGGGGTTTTTCGAGGGTGATATCATATCATATCATTTTGTCTACTTACTTCGCACTCTGTGCATTCCTCCTTTCTCCGTGTTGGACATGACGCCTTTCTGTGCCGCTCTGCAAATGGAAATGTACCAGAATTTAGCAAAGTTCTTTAAATTAGAAACGAAATATCGCAAAATACGATAAATATCTAAAGAAAACGGTATTAATAGTCTGCAAAGTTAATGAAACTTTTTCCGGAATAACCCACCAATGGGTCTTTTTCTTTTTGTATTTTTGACAATCTAATCTTATCGGTGGTGGTGTCTCGTGTTCGTACCTGAACGTGCCCACGAAAGGTAAGTATTTTCACCAGAGGAGGGCACACATAAGTTATTTATGGGGGCAGTGCGGTGTCTGTCCCATGACTCAAGGCAATTATATCACCCAGTACCGCTTGGCTCATTCATAACTTTATCGGATTGTCCCTCTCTCTTCCCGGAATTCGCTCCTGCCCTGCTTATCGGACCGCCCCTTATCGTCCCTGTCTGCATCTTCAAATACCGCCGCACAGAAATCAGAAATTCTAAATATAATGAGACGCGAACACTTGAGTGGCGTCCAAAAAAAACTGCTAGCTACTTTCACGTCAAATGGATTTAAATAGTATTCGTAAGATAATTAAATTTCCACAAGTCAGGAATGTTGGTTGAGTCTAGTGATTCACACGTTAAATAGACTTTACTTTTAAATATTTGGGGTATCAAGCACCCCGGAAAGGATATCAGTTTGAAATAAACTTTAAGATCACTTTAAGTTTAGAGTAATAGATTAATTTCCTTTACGTAATATCTAGTTCGTTTTCTGTAAGTTTTAGGTACTTTGTTAAAGAATAAATATTCTGGTGTATATATACACATTATATCTTTATCAATGAAGATTTTTTTTAAATAATATATATTTCTTTATAAGTACTTTGTTTATTGATTTATTAGTTTTCAGTTTTGGTTCCTAAAAAGGTTCCCCGCCAAATGCAATGGCCTGTCGCTATTTTTCATTTGTTCAGTTCTACTGGCGCCGCGATAATTTATTGAAACGGTGGTGGAAATGGAATTGGAAGTGGAAATTCGTCAGCTATATGCGATTTGTTGCATGCTAATTATCGCCAGACACGTGCATGAGGAGCAGACAGGGTCTTAAGTCGGTTATTCAGCCCCTAGCAACATGTTAGACTTAGTCCAATCAATTAACTGTGAGTTTATATAGCGTTTGGTCAATTTGTAGTGCAAATATTTGCTGGCGTCTTGGCAACAACAACAAAAAAAGGAAACCTATACCCGCATGTAAGGATATATACATCCCAAATTATTGTCCTTGGGCCTGAGACATGTTGCCATGTTATTAACCCAATGAAAAGCGGCATCTGTCAGTTAGTATTTTGTGTGGGCAATGACTATATACGACTTCTATATGGTCACATGTTACTACGTCATCTTCCGACAGCCCGTATATATGGCAAAAACATTAGAAACTGCCACAGCGCGCGACTTTTCTTGCAGGAGGTCAGCCTCATCAAGTATAAGCAATTACTCATTAAATAATATATTAGTCATAAAGAAGCCTAGCCGTCAATGTTTATGTTTATGGGAGAAGTAATTTCCAAGCGCACTTTTGTTTACAACACACAATGGGTATTTAATAACGTAAATCAACGATTAACACTTAAATCACGTATAATTTAAGTGCTGAAACACGTAACAATTAAATATTAAGTCACTATTTTTGTTAATATTGCTATGAAAAGCTATGTATTAACTGGTATATTTAATTTTTTTGCGCCTTGAAAACCATTAAATTTATTTGCTTTATCAGCCAGAACACTTTTGAGGCTCTCGCATAACCATCTACATTAACTGAATTGCAGTATTAAATTAATCACTATTTAAATTTTGTTAATATTGCTCTAACTAGCCCTGTATAAATTGGAACATATATTATTTTTTGCAAATTAAGTACAAATACATCTTTTTTATCGTTTTTAAGCCAGAACGGTTTTGAGGTTCTCGAATAACTATCTACTTTAGTTGAACCACAGCATTAAGTCACTATTTAATTTATTCTTAAGCCGCAAGACTTATAAGACTTATTGTTATTATAACAAACATGCTCCATCTTAGATCTAATTAAACGCCATTTGGCTATAAATAATTGTAATTGTATCGCACTCGAAACGGATTGTTGGCAATATTTGCATTAGGAACTGAAACCCACCTTGCACTCGACGATAACTGCGGCGACAACTAACAAATGTTAGTTGCTTATGGCAAATTATATAATTTGCTCAGCACAAACCGATTAACAGACAGTATTTGTATGATTGAGTTTACCCCGATTTGCATAAAACAACACACCCAGACGAAAACGGAAACCGCTTCAAGACCGCAAAGAAACCGCACGTGTGTTGTTTATTATTATCTTTTTTTTTCCTCCTTTTTTTGAATATATCAAAATAGTTTTCAGAGTTTTGAAGATTGGAAAACAAAGGGTCTAAAACACACGCTCCGGAAAAAGAACAGTTTTTTAGTTAAGACAGTGGGGGACAGACAGCTGTTGATTATTTTTGAAACTAGAAAAACGAAGAGTTTTCTGGCGCAAGCGCAGGCAATTCTAGAATTCGAGCGGATTTCGAAATCGAATCGAAAATGAGGCGGTTTCGCTGTGTGTTCACTTCACTCGGAGCGTTGGAACTGAACTGAAAATGCGGCCGTTCGTCGGCGGCTTTTTCTTTCCTCCGGCCAAAGCGGTTCGCCGGCAGCGACGCCGGCGCCTCGGTCGCTGCCGCTGCCCTCTGCCGCGCCGCTTCTGCCGCCGCTGACGTCCGTCGTTGTTGTTCGTGGGATGCAAAAATTCAAATTCTTGTGCCGTTTATTTTATTTTATTTTTATGCTCTACCTTATTTCTCGTCTTGTTTTCCGCTCCTCCTTTCCTTTCTTTCTCTTTCCCCTACTTTCTCGACGCCTGTCAGTTCGATTGCCCAGCTGCCATTATCTTTGTCCAGATGCGATCGAACCAAATCGGAGCGGATAGGTAGGATAGTTAAGGCCCCCTACTTTATCAGTACAATATCATTTTGAACTGATGCCAAAGCAATGATTCTACAAAGTGAGTCTTAAGTTTTGCCGTAGTTCTTATAGCGGATAGTTAGGATAGTTCAGCCCCCTACTTTATCAGTACAATATCATTTTTAAGGCGAAATACTGCTGCCATATCAATGATTCTACAAAGTGAGTCTTAAGTTTCGCCGCAATTCTTACAGTTTAGTCTTCATCGACGGGAGCTATTTGTTTTGACAGATATTTTGTTGATTATTAGCTTATGGGCGAGGGATTTGTTTGTTTCTAAAACAGCTGAAATATTAATAACAACAGAACGTTCTATATACATAGTATAGATATGACTGAGTGATGAAATAGATTTGCTGAAGCACACATTACTTTGTTTTTCGAATTTAAATGGGGCGGAGCTTTGGCAGTGTTACGAACATACCCACTTAATTGAACCCACAATATGGAAATTACTGAAACACACGTGTATCGTAACTCAAATATTTCTACCTTGATTTTTGTTTTTTTTTAAACATATACAAAATTGTTAATTTAGTACGTAGATATGTATTTGTACTATTCCATTTTTTATTTATCAGTCTATCAGTCGTACACAGTTTTTAAGGTTTTAAAGTCAGATCTTAATAATTGAAAGGCCATTCAAATGAAATCCAAAGTATCAGCTAAATAAATATTTGTAGTTTCGTTAGGATCAAAGATCCGAAATACAGCCCATATAAAATAAAGGTTAATTTTAGGTTTTAAAGGTACATAGACCTCAATAATTGAAAAGCCATTAAAATGAAATCCAAAAATTCAGCTGTATTAATTTGTATAGTTTCGTTAGGATTAACGACCCGAAACTCAGACCATATAAAATATATACATCTAGAGTTTCCAGAAGCTGCGAATCAAATGGAGAAGCGGGTCCAGCGCTCCACAAGACTGGGACGTGGTGACGCCCTGTACCGCTCGTCGAAGATGGGGCAGAACTTCTCCGGGAAACGCTTCTGGAGACAACGGATGACGGTGCCCGTAAGGTAGTAACGCGGTGGCCAGCGGCACTCGCATGGCGGAATGCACGTGGGGCACTGGGCCTGCATGGAGTTCCACTTGCTCATGGTGGTGGCCAGCAGGGGAGCCAGGCATTCCATTCGCCATGGCAACCGGAGATCCCTTTCGGTCCAGTCGCAATCGCACGGTGGGATGCACGTCATGCACATGAGCTCCTCGAGTTCCATTTCCGGTGGCGACTGCTCCGCCTTCTCCACCTCCGTATCGCACTCGTACATCTTGGCCCGCGGAACCATTCCAATAAGCTCCTTGTACTTGCGCTCCTGCTCCCTGCGCAACCACATATACAGCAGATCCCAGTGATCCAGGTTGCGGGCCCTCTCCCGGAGGATCTGCATCCTTCGGTAGAGATCCGACCTCCGCACCTCATCGTAGTTAACTCCAGTCTGCGTGTGGAACAGCAGGTAAAGCTCGTTGGGTTTCTCATCAGGCAGTGAAATACTGGAGGAGAACTTGGTAAGCTCGAAGTGGAAGAGCATCCGGATAGCATAGGTTATATGCCGGATGTGATCGAAGTCCTTGATGTTCATGGCAGACAGAGCAGAGGCGTCCAGCAAGAGCAGCTTTCGTCCCGTGATCATATTCACACGAAAGGTGTTCTGAAAGATATAGTGCATATAGATCGATTTCATAAAAAATATTTGTTAAATATTACCCACCATATACTGAGGATAACCATATCCATTAATCCATCGCCTGATATCCATATCATCCCACTCGAAGATAGATGGTATTGGCAGCTTATCCACCACAATGGAGCACAGCTCTACGAGGGAATCGGGTGATGTCCTGAACTGTATGGGTACGTCGTCCTTATCGTATTTGGGGCAACCCTTGAGTAAATCGTTCCGTCGAAACGTGGTGGGCGGCATCTCCGAACGGACCTTGACCTTCGTTTTCACCTTCTGGTGAAGGAACTTGGTGTCCGCTATTCCGTATAGATAAGGCATCTTGCATAAATTTGGCTCACAATCTTCGATCCTTTTTACTTGATTGTGTATTAAAATTGGACAACAACAAAAATATGGAAAATATAGTGATTGCTATGTTTTTATTTTGATGATCTTTATATGATATAGTTTCTGATAGAGATATATACCTATTTTTAGCCAATTACGATTGCCAATTCCTGGGTTTTTTGAGCTGGCAATGCCGCGTTTGAAGGGCTTCGTATTACCATTTTGCTACCACGTTTTGTGTGTGACTTTCGTAAACAAGTCGACAGAATCTGGAGAAATCTGAACATAGCCAGAACCAGGTAAAGATGTACATACATATGTAGGTACCGATATCGGAACCCCTGTGGAAACATCTGTCCGTCAATCAGCACATGCCAAAAGTGAGTTATTACCCAGGTATAGGGCAATAGATCGATTGTTTCGGATTATATTGTATCGGGATTGGGTTGTCCCGGCTCCTAACGGTCCTCTCGGTCCCTCGATGCTGACCATGTGGTAATGTTGGTTGTCAAAACATGGTCAAGGGTAAACGCCTCCAGTTTACATACTCGTACATTCGGATACCCGACAGCGCATATGTTTGTGGTTTATTAATGAGTACCGCGAATATATACATATAAGAGTATATACTGAAATCGCTTCGGGGCGCATGGGTCGCTGACTCATCACCGATCCGTTCCGATCGTCTCACGTGACGGACATTTTGGAGGTGATTTTTATGGAAACACGTTTTCGGCCATTTCGGACATTTGTTGTATTGTAACCGCTGCTCGTTCGGCAATCAAGCAAAAGCCTAATAAACCTCATCAGGTTCATTTTTGGCGAACGCTTACCTTCATTAGCATGTGGCTGTCAATTTTTATTGTTATTTTTGCAACAGTTTTGCGGCTTAAATGTTGATGACAATTCGAAAGGTTTTTTTTGGAAACATCAATTAAGTCTGTTTGCGAATGTGTTTATCACGAAATTTCGTCTTATATTTTGTCCTAGAATATAATGAAAATGGCGTCTGAATGGGCGGGGGCGTAGTTGGCGATGAAGTGGGCGTGGCTGTGTGTCGGGTTTATAATTTACTTGGATCGTAGTGTCGTCCCAGAGGAAAGAAATTCGTAATTATATACTCCGCTAACCAATTAAAGGGGGCAATCGTACAGTGAATACTCTGAAGAGAGATAAATCTTAAAATGTTGTTTTATTTTAAAAGCGATCCATAAAGATTTATATTAAACCGGAACTATTATATAGTATTTAGGAAACAAATTATTAATAGTTCCTAGAAACTATATAAAAGTTATTAGCTACTGAAGATTTAAGTTAAACTGTTTAATTTATTCGAACTGTGTGGGTGCATTTGTACAGGTTTAACGACGCTATAAATAATAATCGTAAGACTCTAAAATAAATTATTACAAATTTTCGCTTAGGTAGGTCCATATATTAGCTGATTTTATGGTGAATTTCAATAAATCAAAGCATTTCCAATTTTTTTTATAGACAATTTCTTACTCCTTTGTCTACAGTACTTGAGAATACTGAACTCTAAGTTATGGGACCACAAAAGATTTCACTTTCGCTTGAGAAGAGACGGGGCGTGTAGATGCGCCACCATGAAAAATGAAAATGATATGACCATGTAAGGGCAGCTACTGCCAACTACGATCGCACAATGTAATGGTGGCAACAATAAATTAAGGTTCTATTTTTGTAGCTAACTTGAATTACATGCCCGCGTTCCACGGCAAACTGAAGCCGGTTGGCAGCGACTAGTTAACAAGTTAGACCTAAAATAGAAGATGCCGCTGTCCAAGTGTCCGAGTGTCCACAAGTCGACCATCGGAAGAGAAGAGGAGACGCCAGACTAGGCTTGACCAACTTGCAGACGTACACTAGGAAAAACACTTTTTAAAAATCATCTTTTCCTAAGAAACATTCTTAAGTTCGTTTGAAAATTTATTTATTTTAAATCAATTAATAAGCTAAGTATCTATAAATTATTTTAAAGGGTAAGCTCTATTAAATAAGTAATATTGTATGCATTCTTATTAACGATTTGTGAGTAACAAGATTGATATTTTCATTGTTATAATAAAATAATTCATTTATTAAAACCAAAAGGACAGTAATTATTACTCTATTAATAATGTAAAAAAGATAAAGAAATAAGTTTCCTAATAAATATTAATCTTAGGTTGTCAAAAATGAATAATGCGTTAAAAGACGTATTATCTTGAAAAGAGTCTAAAAATGTTAAAAATGGTTTAAGAAATCTTAAGGATTTCTGTTAAAAAAAATGACATTTTCTTCTTTATTTTATTTTAACAAATTAAAGCTAGTATATAACACTAAAATTAATATTTAAAAAGAAAGAAGGGGCGCTGGAAGCTAAAGTCCTTCGGCCCAATGTTCTTCTTATTTTACCCGTTTGTTTCTTAATGGTATTTTTGGGGATTAAAAAAAAATACATTTATTTTAAGTTAAAAAAAATCTTTAATATTTTCGAAAACCAAACATTTCTTGGGGTGTAGTTCCAACATGAAAATTAATAATGCAAATAAATTGTTAACTTTAAACGCGCAAATTCCAGTCTGCGCACATCCCGTGTGTGCGAAAGTGTGTGCATGTTGGCGGGGAGGGGTGGATGGGTGGGTTGGGGGGAGTAGGGTGTGTGGAGTGGGGAGTGGGGATGGTCTGGCGGCAGCGACCACTTGAGGTCAGTTCGATCACGATCGCGTCGGCAGAGGCAGCGACTGAGGCGGAGGCAGCGCCGTTGGCAGCGGCAGCGCAGCAGCCCCAAGATCACGACGAGCCTCCTTCGAAGTTTTCGGTCTCTGCCTCTTCCTCTTCGCACTGTCAAGTGGCGCGTGTGTGTGAGTGAGTGGATACACTTGGAGAAAATACACAGAAAACAGTCTTGTACCCATAGGACAAGTCGCTATTTCAGAGAGTACCTTGTACTAAAATTGGTATGAAAATAGTATTTTAAACTAAGTTATGTATGAATATAAATAGATTAGTGGCTTTCGAAATTATGAAAATAAAATTGTAGGTTCTAGGTTTTTATAACACCATTAAATCAATTATAATTGTTAAACCAGTTTCACATAACTTCAGTTGGTTTAAAAATAGGTAAGATATAAATGGATCGAAAGATCAAAGTTTTCTTCTAATCATATTATTGTTTAAAATGAAATACCAAAAACTCGGCCTTTTCCTCATGTCTTGTCAAACTTTTTTTTAAAATAGTCTAGCAAAATTTTGAAATTTAAAATATTTTATTAAGCTTTAATTATATTTAATGCAATTAAAAGAAAAAAACGAAAATAAACCTAATCAATTAAGTTAAAATCGATTTTTTTCTCTGTGAGCCTAATTAATTTCATGCCTAGGTCAGCCCACTTTTTCACCCAAGAAGTGGGGACTGGACACTGATGTTTGGAATTCGAGCTGGAGCGCCTGATTACATGCCTGGCACATTTTAATTGATGATCCAAACGCAATGTCTGAGTTTATAGCTTTGTTTGGTATTTTTCTCTCTCTTTCGTTTGCCTTTTTTGCACACTTCTTTTTGCCTGTCTTTATGATCATTGCTTTGACTTGTTATTCGCGATTTTTTATTTGTCCCGCAATGAAAGCTGGTTTCAAGTGCTCCTCCAGTTTCGAAATTTCCTGAAATTCGTATAATTTCTGAGAAATCTCCAAAAGAGATAAGAAACTTAACAGATCGTTCGTGACTAATAACCTTTTTTTTGAACCATATAACATCATTTTTAAATACTTTGAGATCTTCCCGAAAGCTCCCGTATTATTCTAAAATAATTTTCCAGTGCTTACCAGTTTTTATTATTTCTTTAAAATCGCTTTAAAAGGCATGTGAACCTAATTTTTTTTCTAAGAAAAGATAGGCATTTGTTTTAGTTACATTGCTCATAAAAACAAACTTCCTTTGAATTCGCAAAACCTTATCAATGAAGACCTAACCTGTCAATAAAGATTTGTGTGGAAATATTTATAATTGCATTCTAATCGTCTATTTTTGCAGTGTGACTGCAAGAATATACTCATTTTTCAATTCCAAATGCGTATGACACATTTATTTCACAACAATATTTTGGTTTTATTGGGGATAAGAAATAATCATACGTATATGCATATGGATGTATATTCTTTTGTAGACTTGTATATATTTTTTACAATTCTGTGTCGGATGCTCCAACTCGTGTTTTTCGTGCGTCTATTTTCAACTTCTATCCCCACGCCACTTTGTTCGTCTTCGGGTCCTCCTCTTCGCTTCCTTGCGTCACCATCGGTCGAAGTCGGGCCCCCCTTATAGCGCCTATGTGTGGGTCCCCAGTCTTACATACATATACCCGCACTCAACGGCAGGCACAACATATATGTAAGTATAATTTCAAGCATATAGCCACTCGTATCACAATTTCAAGAGACGCTAATAGAAGATGCTTTTTCAGATCTGCTGTTGCCAACGTCAAAAGTGCTACGTTCAATCAGAAATCAAAAATAAATAATATTTTCCACTTTCGAGCGCCTCAAGTAAACAACAAGTATGCTGATGCTTGCAAAGAAAGTTCAATTTTGATTGACTGCTACACAACAAGATCCAAAGCGAATCAGTTCATTTGAACTCAAATTGCAGATGAAGGTGACGGAAACGGAAATACGTTGCCAACGGTTTTCGCTTTCGATAGCGATAACTTCTTATATCTTTAAAAATGCAACCATGTCTATTGATCCTTAAAATTTTTCTCAAAATTTAATTGATTTAATAAGTTTATAAGAAGTCGAACAGTAATCTATTACAGAAAGCAAAAACAGATTTCATTTGTGAACATAATTTTCCAGGTTTTGTAATAGGCTGTCTATTATTTCATCAAATCAGAGCAACTATAAAGTGGAATATATATTGTGTATAAATTCCCGTATTGATAAGGAAGGGTAATCCGAAACAGACTTTGAATCGTAAGCTCCACTGAACCTAGCACAAGCTATACCAAAATAATATATACGCACCGAACTGCCCACAACTGGATTCTGACGTCACACTTGAACTGCTATATCCCCCAAAGTCCAACCTGCTAACGCATCCAGACTATACAGATCTAGTGCATATAGCTCCGACAAATCAACAATCCCCAGCGACGTGTGCACTGAGCATGGAAATTCTGTACGTAATCATCTGATCGGGGATTCGATTGAATCGACAAATCTCCCAATTAATGGGGAAAACTGCGCACCAAATGAGTTCAATTGCCGGGTTAGCTGATTCGGAAGATGGGCGTGGCGCGTGTGGCCACTGAGGCCTGACATTTGCATTAATCTTAATTGATTAATAACAATTCAAGATCAAGTCTATTGGTGGAAATATCCGTAACAAGTAGAGTGCAACAAATGCAAAGTGGAGCGGGCGAAAAAAGAGATCTCTTACGGAAGACTTATTTAATAGATTTTGAAGGTTATTAAAGACGCCTGGGCATTGAATATTTGTCTTGTTCATCATGAAGATTAAAAATATAGACCATTATAGGCGGAAAACTAAACAACTTTATTTTTGTTACGAGGGAACTTTTATAGTCAAGAGCCTTGACTATCATCATAGTTTTTCCTTTGGAATTTTACAAATTCAAATAGAATCGTTGTGGCCAAAACCGTTAATATCAATTATAAACTAAACTAAAAAAAAGGGGCTACACTTAGAAAGTTTCAATGCTTGGCAGTTATGTTAACTTTTTCCTTGTCGTCATTATCGTTCTCGTTGCCTTCGCTTTCTTGATCCTTATCCGTGTCGGTTTCATCGTCGTTATTAGCCTGCGTTTGCTTGAGAGCCTTTTGGGCCTCGCGATCCTTCTGAGACTTTTCCCAGGCCAGCTCAAAGGGGTACTCCAGGGGCTTCAGTTCGTCGGGGCATTCCTCCTGATTCGGAGCTGTGGCCTGGTTGATGGAAGCTCCACGCGTGTGGATCTGCTCCAACTGGGCGGCATTGTGGACCTCTGCGTTGAGACCTGTAATGAACTCAAACAGCTGCTCCTTGGTGTAGATGCTGGGCAGGCCGCGTCGTTCAAAGAAGTTCACGATGTTGCCGCAATCCCTCATCAAAAACTCCAAGGCACTGGGATGCTTTGGCTCGACACTCTGAGCCACGTCTATAAACCAGCACTTGCCCTCGAACCAGAGTATGTTATATTCGCTCATATCGGCATGCACCAACTTTGCCTCGTTATACAACTTGTGCATGGCGGCCACGATCTCCTCGTACGCGCAACTCAGCTCCGCGGCACTCAGCCGAGCATCCTTTAACTTAGGGGCCGCATTATGATTGTCGCCTATGAACCGCATGACCAAAACGTGCTTTTTCAAAACTACCACATCGGGAACGTTTAGTCCAATGGCCTGCATCCTCATCAGGTTATGCATCTCCTTCTCCGCCCACATGTTGATGATCACCCGATGGTTTTGCTTGCTAAAGCGATCCTTGAACCTATAGTCGTCCTTGATGTACCGATCGCGCTGCTTGAACTCGTTGAGCGTGGTCTTAAAGATCTTAATGGCACACTCCTTGGGCAACAGATGGGGTGGTACCAGCACACCACTCTGGTGGCCATGCTCATTGCTGCCTGTATAATTCGAATCGGAGTTGGCGTGCAAGATAACCGCCTCCTTGCCAGTGGAGATAATGCCGTTGATCTGCTCGAGCACTTGGTTGTTGATCAGCTTATACAGCAGCAGACGCGTGCCGGCATCCAAACCCATCTCGGCGGTGGCCACTTTTTCATGTTTGTCAGAGCGACCACGACGCGAGTGGGCTCTCAGTTGGTTGAACACCTAGAAGGTACATTTAGGTCTAGGTTACTCTTGGTAAATGGTTCTCTTTTTCTCACCTTGTTGGATAGCTTCATGTCGAAGCCGGCGGCATCGCCTGTAGGAAACTCCGGCGGAAAGGACATCACCCGCTGAGCATTGCGCACTGCGCACAACTGCGGATCGTGCTTGGTGATCATCTCACCCTCCTTGTTAACTTTAAAACCACACCGTGGAATGGACTCTAGCTGTCGTTCGTTGTCCTCGAACCGATCCCAGTCGTGCTTCAGTTGCTCCAGCTCATCTTCCTCGTAATCATCTTCGGCAGTGTCATGCAGAAACTCGGCGTCGCCGTCGCGCAGGAACTTATTGAGGGTAACAGTGACCTTGGACTGCTTATTCTGCTGCCGCTCGATGCGACGCAGCTCCTCGTTGTACTCGTGATCGAACTGGGACTGCAGCAGCCGGGCAATTACTGCATCGCTGTCCTCTGGCAGCTCTATGTCCGCCGGTGGAATTCCGTCGTCGTTGAGGAGCGCCGAGTAATCTTCCCACTCCTCGCTATCGCTTTGGTTCTTCATCGAACTGCCCGCCACATTCGAGTAACTGGCGGCAGGCGGGGATGAGGCTTCCGCGCCCCAAATGGAAGCCAACTGCTGCTCCGGCTTGTTCACCCTCTCCGTGTGGCGCTGCACCTCCTTGTCGTGCAGCTTGTGGGCATATTGCTCCGACATAATATCCGCCAGGTTGACCTGCTGCACTGGCTCGCTGCTCTTGACCCATGGTGACGACATTCTGCGCAGTTGGATGGGAAATCAATATACATAGAAATTTGGACTGTGATTCGACAAACCTTTTGGCACTTGGGTTGACAAGATCGAGATCTATATCGGTGGTAATTGTGGCAGGTTGCGAGCCAATAAACAAACAAACCTCTGTCAAAATCCCGACCAGCAGGGAATTGCAAGTGGATTTGATGTGTCCCCGTTGGCGGACAATTGATTTTTAGGGCGCAATCGAGGCGCAATTTAAAAGGAAAGCTGTTGCAACTGTGTTGCAATTGTATTTCCTTATTATTTCACCAAGAAATTCCTTTTTCCTGTAGTTGTGAAATTATTATTTCGTTAAAGGGACAATGTGCCGGCACCGCCAAAAATACCAAAACGCTTTTAAAAAGTGGCCAGATAAGGCAGGCATTTCCGACGTTGAGGCAGCTGGGCATACTAATGAGCCGCGAACAAGTTTTTACTTCAAATTCTTTTATTTTCCACTGTACAATTATTTGTCTTCTGTACTAAAATAAACAAAATTAGCTGAAAAGGCGCAAAACCAAAGAAATTATTTTAAAATCTAAAATATGGCAGGGCTGCCAGATGCGGCATCAATCGGCGCTGCCACATCAGGGCTGCCAGATGCGAACTTTTAGAGCGGCGTTGCCATCCATCGTTTCGATGCCAGTACTCGATACTTTTTGTTGTAGTTGTACATTTTTCGCCAAAAATAATAATAAAAGTGAAAAATTTTTTTTGTTAATATACGTTTTTTTGTTGTACAAAGGAGAAAATGTTATTAAACTGATTGGCCGCCCCAGCGTTTTCGTGACCCCCGCTCCAAAAAGAAGAACAACAATAAACGGCTGCCAGCAACAACAAGGTGCAGTTAAATATTGAGTGCGCTGGTAAGAAAGATGGAAACAAAACGAGAGACCGAAAAAGCAATCAAAATAGAATTCCGAATTTAGAATATGACAGACAGAGAAAAAAAAATTTTCAATTCGAACGCATTGCCGCTGCTGCTGCTTGTGCTGCTTCTTCTTCTTGTTCTTGTCGTCTTCCTCTTCTTCTTCCACAGCCGCTGTGGGGGGACATTGGGGGTCAAATGCAGAAGATCGGGGCGAAGATTTCGTGAATTTGTGATTTCCGATTTCGTTCTTGCTAATTTGCGATTGCCACTGAGACTGGAAGTCACCCGCACACACACACACCGCTTTTGGCCGCCTGTAATTATTAATTTTCATTACTCCTGCAGCGCCTCTCGCCTTCTTTAACCGCCAATTGCTCCTGCTCCTGCCCACTAACTCCAAAAAAAGCAACAAAAACAAGCAGCGAGGAAGTGAAATGATAAAGTCCACCACGAATCCACAGGAACAGCGTCTGCCACGCCCCGAGGATCAGCCGCCACCGCCGCCGCCCCCCTCCTCCTCCACCACCACCACCAGCAGCAGCAGCAGCTCCGCCGCCCCTGCCACGCCCACACACCAAGTGGCCACCGTGATAGCCAACATGGACACCCTGAAGACCGCCTTTCTGCCCAATCTCAGCATGGATCCCAATGTGCACGTGTCGGCGCACTATTGTCCCATGTGCCACCAGCAGTTCGAGCGGGCCCAGCACGTCGCGGAACACATGCAACTGTGCCACGGGATCACGCTGAATGCCCAGGGTGCCATCGCCACGCTGGAGGCACAGCATCCGCAGGCACAGGCCCCACCACAGCACCACAAGCCCAGCCATCCCTGCTTCAATTGTGATGAGAAGTTTGGCAATGCCGTCGATCTGGACGAACACCAGAGGCTGGCCCATCAGACCTCCGCCTTCCTGGCCCGCTGCCTCATGTGCAGCATCTATGGCATCCACACGGCCACCCAGCAGCCCAACGAGTACAAGTGCACGCAGTGCGGAACCATTTGCACCACAGCCATGTTGGCCGCCGGGCAGCAGGGCTTCATGGAGCAGCAGGAGGCGGCGGTGACGCCCGACGACCAGCTGCCGGCGATGGCGCCACGTGATATGAGACTGACGCCCGAGGAGCAGCACCACCAGCAGCAGCAACTGCAGGCGGAGCACCACCACCAACAGCAGCAACAACAACAGCAGCAGCAGCAGGAACTGCTGGAGCAGCAACAACGAGAGATGCAGGAGCAGGCGCAACAGCAGCAGGTGCACCATCACCAACAGGATCAGGATCTCTCCGGCGACCAGGTGGCGTTGAAGGTGCCACCGCTCACCGTCAAGCTGAACAAGAACGCCAATGGCGGGGCCATTGTGGCCCATCCGCAGGTCATCATCAAGGAGGAGCCACTCAGCCTGAGCGACAGTGGCGATGTGGTCAACTCAGTGCCCGTGTATGCCATACAAGCGAATCCCGGTGTTCCCGCCACGGCCAGTTCCGGTGTGCTCGTCGGCACGCAAACGGTGGCCGCCGATCTGGCGCACAAGATCCGGCACAAATGCCCGGACTGCCCGAAGACCTTCAAGACGCCCGGCACGCTGGCCATGCACCGCAAGATCCACACAGGCGAAGCAGAGTAAATCCATTTTATATGCATCCTACTGACTGGGTACTCCGGCAATGTTAGCTATTTATTCAGGATTTTACAAGATCTTTTAAGGATATCCAACAGTTTATGGATTTAGGATAATCCACAAAGATATGTAGTAGGTTTTTCAAGGATCTATTAATGTAAATTCAAGTAAGGAGTCTGTCCGATAATGTTAAGTCAGGTATCCTGGAAAGAGAGGTATCTTTTTTAGAGATATCAAATAACCAAAATTCTATCAAAGTAGATTTTTTAAAGTTTAACGAAAATCTCAGTGATACAATGATAAATCGGTGATAAATTCAATCTTAAAAGGTTATAAGGCCTTCTTTTTATTCCAAGAACTAACTTCTATCCAACATTCATGTTAAACTTAACTCTTAAAGATTATTAGTTATGTTGTTTTATAGCCCGACAGTTACTAAATCATTGCTGGAGTACCCGGTATTCATTCTAAGGCCTTTCCTGCTCCAGCTCAAAGTGAACCATCGACTATTTTTGGGTCTCCCTTTGGTGCTGTGGCGGGAAGATCGCCAAGCTAACCCTAATAATCTTACCACTTGTATATATATTTTTTTTGTTTTCCTTCGGGGCCAGCTGGGCGCATGGGCGCGCCCTCGAAGCTTTTGGGACGAGGCCCATGCGTTCGTGTGTCGTTTGTTTTGCAACTTATTTTTATATCGAGTGTTACTAATAATATAATTCGAATTTCTTTCTTTTCTCCCGCGCCCGCTCTCTCTCTCTCTATCTTTCTCTCTTCTCCGTTTCTGCGCGTTATTTTGTGAATATGAATATGAATATAATTCTTAACTCTCGAATCTCCAATCGCAACTCCGACAGCGCCACGCCCAAAGAACGCCCCTACACGTGCTCCTACTGCGGCAAGTCCTTCACTCAATCGAATACACTAAAACAGCACACTCGCATACATACAGGTGAGAAACCATTTAGATGTGGCTATTGTGGCAGGGCGTTCACTGTTAAGGATTACCTGAACAAACATTTAACGACTCACACGGGTGAGAAGCAATATTTTTCAAATCAATTCAGTCAGTCAATCAGCTCTCAACTCAATCAACTCAACCAATCAATCAATCGACTCTTCAACCAATCAATCGATCAGATTATTATCACCTCCGGGTGATGATGAGAAAAAAGCAATACTCAAAAAAGAGAAACCTCTGTATGCAAGTCCATTTCCATTTGCCATACACAAACTCGCTCTCAATCTCTATCAGTCAATCTCAATCTATCAGTATCAATCCAATATCAATCTCTCACCTCTGCCAGCGCCGCTGCCGAAGCTCGATCACCTGACACGAGCCGCCGCAGCGCCTGCGCAGAAAAGCACGCTGAGAAAGACGGCGAAAATTGGCAAACCCAATAGCCTTGATAAGGATCTTGCTAGGACGTCACTTGCTATAACTCAGTTCTTGGAATTATACCTTTGAAATTATCAAAAATCCATAAAAACTCTTTGATTTAAAGCTGGTTGTAAACGATGCAGCGGCTACATCTTGAAAAAGCTTTTCAATTGTAGAGCAGGTTCCTTCTAGAGATCCTGATTAAATAAGACATAATTTCAAAAAATATTACATATTTTAATAAAACATTTCAAAACTTTTAAAATTATATATTAATAATTAAAATGAAAAACATATTTAAAATACTAATAACTCAACTAGCTAATACCCAATGAGTGATGATAAACCTGCATTATTACAAGCAAATAAAAAATAATTAGTTTCGATTACAGCTGAAACTATAAAAAGATTTGCATTAAGATTGCCTCCTACAAAAATGTTTATTTTAGATTATAATCAAAAGACTAGCTTACAGTTTTAGTTTCTAATAACGCAATTGTTTGATTTCCAGCAAGTGACACTAAGGGCCTTGAATTTTTGCCATCTTCTCCGATTAGCAACAAATAACGAATCGTATGAGTCACTGTTTACATGCCCTCACAGAAATGAATACGAAAACCGCAACTATGATTTAACAAGCTTTCTGTGAGGGTAGCAAAGCAATATGATAATCCAAATCCGTATCGCCCGCCGCCTCATCTCATTACGTAATAATATGTCTCGAATGCATTTTAACAAAACACCAACCAAATATATTTATACACACACATTTAATAATATAATCTTATATATAGTTTGATTACGTGCAAGACCTTATTTGATATGCATACATATCTACTGTATCCACACATCAACCACTCAATCAATCAATCAATCAGTTCAAACCAAATCAAATCAATCAAACCTTTGGTACTGCACGCACCAAGCAAACTGGCGTTGTGCTAGCGACGAGTGCTAACCGAGTATCCCAACTTTCTTCGTCTCGCCAATCCTGTTGGCTGTTTTGCAGGAGAGAAGCCGTTCCATTGCGGGTACTGCGAGAAGTCCTTCAGCGTGAAGGACTACCTCACCAAGCACATACGGACGCACACCGGCGAGAAGCCGTACACCTGTCCGTACTGTGACAAGCGCTTCACGCAGCGCAGCGCCCTCACGGTGCACACGACCAAGCTGCATCCGCTCTAGGGCAGGCCAGGCGGTGGCCGCCAGATACTCGTTCCCGCCGCAGCCGCTCCTCCTTCTGTTCCTTCGGATGCCCCGCCATCGCACTTGTCGTTGTCGTCGTCGTCGTCGTCCGCCGACTCGGATTCGGATCCAAAGAAGCCATCTACCACAGCGGCCGCGGCATCGGCATAGAGGGCATAGAGTTCCAGCGGAAACGGAAAGCGGAAACGAGATGAGCAACCCAATATGAAAGACCTTTTCAAAGACGAGACACACTCACACACACGCGGGAGTTAACTGATGCGGATGCAACGCAACCAACGACTGGCAAATCTCTTCACAGTGCTGCTAGATTAAATTACTAAATTAGATACTTTCATTTCGGTTAACAAAGAAGGAGAAACAAAGTTGTACTAAATTAGCGTACAGTTCGTAGAATGTTTAAGTTATTGCAATCGATTTTTGATTTTTATTATTATTTGGTTATGTAGATGTTTTGCAATTTTATTTTTATACACCCCTATGTATATCGTATATAATATTTTGTTATTCTATGAGATTTTATATGGTGACTCCTTAGCGCACACTCACTTACGCGCGGCGCTATACACACAACACGACACACCACAAACACACATACACATCTATTATTTATAAAGAGAGAAAATATTTTTTACTCATATACTTTGTGGCAATATTATTATTACGACTTCCTAAAATTGTTTGTAAATGTTATCGAAAACAGCAAAACAAAGAAAGGTAAACTCATGTCTACGCGCAAAACTTAAATTATTTCTTAAATTATAAATTTATTATATTCGAACTCAAAACAACACAAAATTATTTATTCTACATGCAAACCCTTTTCAAAATTTCAACTCATAGAGGAAATGGTGAAGAACCCATACGAAATTTAGTCATTTCTCAATTATCTGCACTCGAGCAGGATCTCGTTTGTTTTGGCTTTAAAAATTTATTTACTTTTAATTACTAAATGATTTAATCATTTTGCTTGTTTTTATTGAAGAATGTTAACCATTGTTTTATTTTTAAAATTATTTAAGTTGAAAGCGCTGCTTTTGCTTGTTAAACTAAACTTAACAGTGAGATTGTATAAACAAAAAAGCATAACTAGAAATTAATTTTACAAAATTTGCATTTTTTAACGCAAGACAAAAAGTATTTAAGGCAAATCGAAATGAGAAATCTACGCTAAACGCAACACAGCTTTATGCGCCAAACTAGAAGATTAAACAAATTTAACATAACGATCTACATAATTGATACTTTTGATAAAAAAAAAAAAACTAAAGTTGTTTTTGTAATATATATAAATATGGATTCAACATTTTTACGACAACTTAAAGGCGTTTTTTTAAAAAGCAAATGGATACTTGCAAGAGTTGCACGTACTAAACCAACTAAAACTAAAACTGTAGCAAAACCAAAACCATGTACATTTTTATAACATAGTGTTATATAATTATAAAGTATACAAATATATAAACCTGTATCTAATATTAATGCATAATACACTCAAACAAATTGTCTACCTAATGGCACATAGCACAGCAACAAACGATGCGCAGCGCATGTAAAACCAAAATAAATTCTAAGTACTAAACTATTGTAATTCTTTAAGTTTTAAATAAACCGAGATGAGTTGACGATCAAAAGCAAAGAGCAACAGCTAAATCCAAGCTTAACTAACCGCAACACAAACGAAAACAAATTAACTCTGCTGTAAGTGACTACCAATGATTGAATGGCGTCATCACGAAACTAATCATGTTGAATACGATACGTACTAAATACCGACTAACTATTAGATCTTAGCCACGAATCCAAAAACGAAGCCAGACAACAGACACACAAACACGAACGTCAGCAAGTGAGTAAATAGAAATTAAATTGTAATTAAAATTTATTATTAAATATATAAATAGATATTACGACTATAAATGTATGTACTTGCAATCTAAATTTACGTGACAAAAACTAGCAAATATTCGAGCAATATTTCAATTTAAAATATATGAAAAGGAACTATATATACAAAATAAAGTCCAACCATGTAGAAAGATTATATATGAAAACGGAAGAGGGTCTTTTGGATGAGAATTTGTAGTAAAAAGGCCTCCCAGGTGTAACACAATTAAATAAGAACTCGTGTTTTGGTTATATGTTCAAAATTCTTTTTTTAATATTAGCTTGTTTTAAATGGATCTTGTCCGTTATACGTCAAAATCAAAAGGGAAGAGAATAATGCAAAAGGGATCAAATCGCTTTTAGTGTTACCAGCTTGCGGTTGGTCAAGAATTTTTTGCTTCTGAAATGATCAAATTGGTATTTTTCCATAGCTTTCGTATTGGTAAATGATTAGGCCAGTTTATAAAATTAAATAATGCTATACATAGGATAGGTAAAGTTGGGCTCGCTGGTTTTTGTACGGTATGTTTTTAAAGGTCTACCTTTGTCATTCGATTATTTTATTATTATTTATCTCCAGTTCTTATGAACAGGTGTCAGTCATGAAAATTATCAGATTTTAAATGCGACTAGAGAGGATTTAGACTCGCAATAGGATCCCAACTTATCCATACCAAAAAGTAAACGACTTGTTTGATCATTTAGTTTAGTTTATTTAGTTTTTGTTTTTCCTTTTAATTACAATGAACGAATATTATGAACACTATCACACTTTCAAAATGTATTCCGTTTCTTTTCAAATCGTTTTTTGTAGTTTCCTTTGCGCTGAGCCACTAATTTAGTTTGCCTCTCGGTTTTCTTTTATTGTAATGCTGATTACACTCATATATATGTATATATATTTATAAATAATTTAAGTTAGTTATATGTTTATGTATATCCCATAAATATTTTTTTTTACACAAACTTTTGATCAAACGCAACCAAAAGTTGGTTTTTTTATTTTAATTATCATTTTGGGTTTTGCTTTTTTTTTGTTTTAAATGCTCAATTTGTTGCATGCATGCTGTAAGATTACCTAATTTAACCATTTGCCATGTTTTACTTGCTATATATTTTTTATAGTGTATATAGATATACTTTTTATAACCCTTATAAATGCCCATGTAACTGTACTATAGGTTTTCTATGGACTTGTTTTCCCCCATTTTCTTTTTATAACGATCGCCTCCAAAATTTATTGCGTACATTTGAAATGTTTTCACTTTGTGTTTTTCAATACTCTAACACGAACTTTTTGTTTTGAGAATAACGAATTAAAGATGCTCTGGATTCGGATCTGAACATTTTCGGAGGAAATCTATTAGTGTAATAATACTTGATACAGAATTTGTTGGGCTAATGTCGTAAAAAAATGTACTTAAGCCTCTATTAAGCATTGTCCTATGATTTTCACTCTCGATCGGGAACTCTGTGTCTTGAAAATGTAACAATTTGCTTTTCTCTCTACACTTCGTCTCCGTACAGTGTGTATTTACAAAAAGTTTACCCCGTTCGGTTTTTGGTTGGAAATGAGTGGGAACTACAAGTATACAATATATAATACAAATTTATTTTAGTTGGTAAGATTAGTAAGACGTAAAACGTTCGATAGTAATGAGGGAATTACTAGTTTTAATGCCTATAAGCTCAAATTTACAACTGATTATTCACTGTTTTAAAAATGATTTTCGCTGTGTTTCCACTCATTCAATATCTCTAGTCATTGTAGAGACCTTGTAGATAGTGTTTGGATGGTTCGAAAACAATGGACAAATAAATCGAGTGTTAGTAACTATTGAGGAACTTAGTGGTAAACGAAAAACACGAGTATTAGGAATAGGATTATATTTCTTAACGTTTGTGGCTTTTGTTTTTACAGTTTTATCGTTACCTACACAGGTGGGCTCTGTTTTACCGCTCTACCGTTCGTACAACTTTGATCTATCAGTGATCATCGAAATCAATCGAACTCAAGACTGAGAGAAAATCAACAAAGTAAAACCGTCTAAAAATTTATCAAAATTTTATAAAACTTGACTGCTTTCAAGGTTTTTCACTTTTCGTCTCATTAAAAATAAAGTAATGTTTGTTATTGTTTGTATTTTTTGTGTGTTGCCTCTTCTTTTTCATTTTCTTGCTGGTTTTTCTTTCATTGCGAAATTAAAGTAATTCTTTTATTGTTTGTATTGTTGCGCTATATAATAACTATTTCTCACATACACGTACATATTATCTACATATACCAACATGTATCGTACCGTTAAATACTTATATACAAATATCTTTGATCGCTGGAATATCGGCTAGCTTATCCCTAGGGATCTTGCGAATCGGTCTTCTTAGTTGGGGTTCCAGTTCCTGTTCCTTACTTTGAGTGCGAGACAACGGAGTGGGAGACCATCGAGTGGGAGAGCATTGAGTGGGATACGCCCGATATTTCCGCATAGGTGTCCGTGGGTCCTTCGGCACTGCAAACTGAATCCTCGGGCGTTCGGGAAGGTTCCGCCTCGGTGATCTCAATATCCTGATGATGCTTGTTGCTGCGGTGTTTGGCACTTAGAGCCTGCGGATTAAGGATATATTAGATTGGAATTTTGTCGACTGGGTAACTGTAGTTTTTCGTAGTATCGTGTGCAATCTGTTTTTTTTGGATTTGAACATGAAGTGCTATCTATGGACGGACACATGCACACACGCAGACACACAAATTGGTTTCGGGTTTATCGGGGGACTTGGGGTCTAAGTTTATAGACAAACGTGCGAGAAGTTATTTTTATTTTCTTTTAGGGGTTTATCTTACAATCACAACACAGATTATTTTTTATGGGGTTAGGTTTTAGGTTTATGCTAGGCCGACAGTTCTTACCTTATCCTTGCTGCCCTTTTTCTACATTGAACATTGGTGGTTAATGTTTTGTTTGGTTTGGTTGTGGTGGGATTCGAATATATTGTACATAGTCATGACAAGAACAATGATATTTATAGATGTATTAATATTAGTGGCAAACAATACTAAGAGTTCACATTGGAGGATCAAGAGAAATAGAGAGACGGAGACGGATAGAGAGACTGAGGAGAGAAAGATCTAGGGAGCTTGGGATAGGCAGCAAAAGGCTTTGGTTTGAAGAGTTACAGCAATATCGATCTGGGTCACTGAGTCCTACAGCCCGGTCCCCCATTTTGGCCTCTGCGATGTCATGTACAGTGAGCACTATGGCTGGTGGACTACACTGCGGATGTGGTGACCCCGACTCACCTGCAGGGAGAAGCGGCGGTGACCCGCCTTGCGTCCGCCGCGTCGCTTGCTGATGTGCGGATTATCCTGCCTGAGAGTCTTGTTCTTCATAATCTCCAGTTGCGTGTACAGTCTGGAATTGTCAAGATAAAGATGTAGGATCTATATATGAATGTTTGGAAAAACCCCTGCAGATCCTCCAAATTAACATGATCACTACTTGAAAAGGCTTTCCAAGGGTTTCAAAATGTAATGTAACATCTAAGAATTTCTAAATACATTATTCCAGTTTATTACCAAGTTTTTTCGTATTATAATGAACTTGATTCTTGATAAATGCATTTTATGTTCCTTAATGATCATCTTACATGTTTATTTCTATGAAAACTTTATGTTTAATAGGGGTATGCATTTTTCATTGCCATCCAGTTGGAAATAAAGGCATTTTATAGGAAATTCTAGATTCTTGTAATCTCTGCAAGGGTATACAAGGTATAGGGACTAATTGTTTACCTTTTGAGTTCGGCGCGTATGTCCTCGGGACTCATTTCGGATATGGTCAGCTCCCCGATGTCCGGATCGCCCAGACAGAGCCCGGCATATCCTCCGCCCAGCCGCTGGCCGGCGTCGTGTGACGTACCCTTGAAAGCATCCACAGGTAAACGTATTGATAGATCATACGCTAGCGAACGAACCTGCAAGCTATGAAGATGCAACAAACACCGCAAACCACACTCAGGAAGTCAAACGAAAAATGTAGAACGGAAACGGAAATGGAAATGGAAACGGAACTCAAGGTAAGAGAGAGCAAAGAACCGAATAGAATAGATCTGTGCTGGAGAGTATGTATTTAATATGTATATAGTATGTCTGTAGTTTGTGGATGGTGGGTGCTTATTGGTCGTGATTGTATCTGTTGTGGTGCTGGAAATGAAAAGCAAAACAAAATAAATCAAAAAAGAAACTCAAAAGTACAGAAAGATGGACGTTAGCTATAAGAGGACTACTTAGACAGAGAATTTCAGTTTTAAGATTATTCGGTTGAGAGACACAAAGACAGAGAAAGTTACAGTGAGGTAGAATTTTGGAAACACTAGTTTGGAATTTTTTCTGGTATGCATATTGGGAATTTTTGATAGGAAACCGATTTTTGTCATTAGTTTGTAGTTTGATGTGTTGTCTTGGAAAAGTCATGCAAAAAATCAACGCTAAACATGCAAATAAAATAGCGTGCTAGTTAATTCAAGTTGAAGTGCAATACAATCAAGCAGAAATAATAAGAGCTAAAAACAGTCGAACATTCTTAGATAAAACGAGACACACTTGCAGCAACTTCATAGCTTGACTAAAGTTTCAATTCAATGTTAGCTTAATACTAAAATTATGTTAATTTTATCGATGAAACCAGAACAGAAACTAAAGATAACCATAACCAAATGAAATAATCAATTGTTTTAGCAAAAGCAACAAAGCTTTTCGGTTGGGTTTCCCCATTTTTTATGTTTTTTTTTATTATTTTGTGTTGGCTAGTTACTAACAAAAATCGTTTCCTCAACCAATGTCTATACCAAATGCGGATTTCGATGACAAAAATGATGACCACGTCCGCGACAGACAGCACAAAGTGAACGGGATGGAATACTCTAAGCATATATATGTATATATTTGATGTCCAACTAGGACGCAACAGTTCCTAATTAAATCTCAATGTGTTCAACACAAAAGCGTACTCAAACCAAGGAAACCAAGGGAAAATAAGTAAATTAAAATGCTTCGAACTCGTATCGGTTACCTGTTTGTGTTGATACCACAACTTTGGCACAAATATCAGACCCAAGGCGAAGCTGTTCGTCAGTTGGGAGCGGATGAACAGGGCCAGCAAAATGGCGCTGGGACTCATTTCCGGCAGGTATACAAAGCGCAGAAAGTAGAAGCTCGACGAGACCAGGAACTCCAGCGTCAGGGCGGTCACCAGAAATTGCCGTTCCTAAAGGGGGTCGCAAGGAAATAGCTGGTTAATTCTGTTGACCCATCTAGGGTTTCTTACACAATGCCTCTTAAATTTAGTTAATTATTTGAGACTACATTGAATACATTATTTTTCTTTTATCAAAGTCTCTTAAAATAAATACAAGCTCTCAATTAAATCCAAATACCATCTTTAAAAGAATATTCAATATCATCCAGTTGATCAGTTCGATCTGATTATTAAGACTTTAAAATAAACCTTAGTAACTTTTTAGCAAAAAAAAAAAACTATCTTGTTAATTATAAAAATTAAGAAAATAAAAATTTTTAACTATTTATGTAAACAAAAATATTAGAAAAAACTGTATTTAAATAAAAACTGAATTTTACTTGCCATAGTATATATAAAAAATAAATTTTTCAAAATAGTTCAATCATTTTCACTGTGAAGTCATTATAGTAAGTCCTAGCAACTATAAAAAAAGGACTATTTTAGTAAGTTTAACAATGATACAAATTAAGATAATGTTTTTAAAATATTATTAAAAATATTTATATCATGAAAACCAAGTATCCATAATATTTAAGGGAGCAGAACTCCATCTTACCCGGAACTGGGTGTTGGCATTCCGGCTGGCGATGGACAGGTGCAGTCCGAAGCACAGGATGAGCATCTCGCTGGTCTGCGTGACCAGCTCCCACTTGAGCGGATGGCAGGTGTTCGTGTCCGCCTCCCGGAGGCTCTCCAGCTGGGCGCTTTCCAGGAGGTCCAGCGACGAGGCCGTGAAGGCGGCCATGTAGCAGATGACGGCGAAGACCATGGTGCCCAGATACTTGAGCAGGTCCACGTCCCTCAGCACCCACCGATGAGCCTTGCGGGTGCGGAAGTCCACCAGGTGGCGGTACAGCTTCAGGATGATGGCGCCGTAGCAGGTGATGAAGCCCAGTTCCCGGAGCCACGGCTCCAGAAGGCAGCGCTCGGTGGAGGCGGGAAAGAAATGGACGGCAACCTAAAGGGGAATTTGTTAGTAAAGAAAAGGGGTTATACTTTCTGAAGGACCACTCACAGATGCATAAAGTAAAACAATGCCCAGCAGTATCGTCTCCAGCACAGTCCACATGCCTGAGGCAATGGCCTGAAAATATTAAAATATTATTTAACGAAGATACATAAGAAACATTTTGTATTAGTTTTAGAAATGTAAAATATAATGTCTTCCTAATTGTTTAGAGCCATAAAGATCATTAATAATGTATTATGCTTTATATTAATAATATACAATGATATGATATAATTCTTTCTCACTGTTCAGAACGATTAGTATAAAGGGTACTATAATTTATAACTATTTATAATAAGTGGTCTTAAGATTTGTTAATAGACCCTTTTAAAAAAGTTGTTTTGTAGATTAAAACCTCGTTATTTCTTTCATTGTGATACTTAATTGGCTTCAAACTTGTTTTATAAAATCCCAATTAAATCGAATCTTAATTATGCTATGTATAAAACCATAGCTTGGTTAACGCTAGGCTTAACTATTTTTAATCAGTCAAGAAAAAATTATGGTTTGAAAACTGTCTTCCAGTAATATAACATAAAAAACAATCCTTTCAGGAATTAGTATACCTTGCACTTTCTCTGCCGGAAGACAATCACGCCGAGGACGACGCAGCAGAGGATGCAGGCGCCCAGGACGATGGCCACCAGGAGGCGCAGGCAGGCGTCCACGTTGAGCACCTCCTCCTCCTGGAAGGTGAGGCAGACCCCGTTGTTATCGCAGTTGGAGCATCCACCGGGACACGGGACGCACGAGTAGTTGTCGTAGCCCTCGGACAGCTCCACCCGATCCCCGCGGAATCCCTGGAGCGTGGAGTTGGGCAGGTAGTAGGACTCCCGGCACAGACAGGTGTACACATCCCTGGTGGCGGCGGGTTTGTTCTCGGTGAGCAGGCAGAAAGTCGTATTCCGATCGCAGCTATAAGGATTTCATGATATTTACTGAGTTCAGATAAAGTTTCTTATATAGTTTACCCATGACGACGACCGAAAACTTCCTCTAAGCCATCGTTGCACACATCCTCGTCGGCGGCAATAAAAGCGGCCGCCACAACTCTGAAAATATTTACCATTAATTACCAGTTCCAACATATGGTTTTATATATCGATTCGCGACTCACTTGATCCTGTGCTCGCTAAAGGATATGCGAAATGGCCAAAGCCAGCGACGCGTCAACAGGTTGCAGTCGCGGAAGGGAGCCCCCCATTCCTGGGTGCCGTCCGTGCTGTTCCAGGCCGCACTGTAGGGGGGAAACAAATAAATAGCACAATTATGGGCAACTTTCCAAAATAATAGGGCTTATCCATATGAGTACAGTGTGTATAAGTGGTCCATTTAAATTAAGCGATGGTTATCTTTTAAGTAAGCTAAAAAGCTTATTGAATTAAACTGTCTGTTAAATTTTAGAAGCTTTAAATAATCTCTCTGCTTTTTGTGTAGATGTTGAATGGGTATATCTTTTAGTGTAATTAATTAGTAGTGTAAATAAATTATTTAAGTGCTCTTGTGGCAAGGGATGACAGAAAATTAGGGTATCAACAGGCTTTAAAAGCCCATTAAAGTTTATTGTACATGTACACTGTATTCATTTTGAGAGGACCTTTTAATAAATGTAATACCATTATGTAAAGAGTAATATATTATTTTGTTTTCAAAAAGGACATAATTCATAATATAAGAGCATTCTTTTAGGTGCCTTTCCGGGAATACTTCATAAGAACTAACGGATTTTTCAATACCAAAAACTCACCCCAACTCCCGCCAGTAGGAACCCAAGTACGCCTTATTGTGCACCTGATCCGGTGGTATCTGCAAAAGGCAAAACCCGATTAACTTGGACCCATTATCCCTGATTAGCGAGTGCATACCGTAACGTTATCCCTGAATTTAACGACCACCGTGTGAATGCTGGGCGCTGCGATGGCGAAGGCCAGGAGATTGTCGTCCTCGTTGAGGGCGTAGCTGGCGATTCCATTCGCCCGGCGACTCACCTCCGCACGTGTCGCCTCATCGATGGTAATCGGAGTGTTGGCATTTGGGAATTTACTCGATAAAAATTCAATAAACTGGCGTGCAGCATCCTCGGCAATGTCTGTGTAGTCGTAAAACTGCAAAATTCATAAAACCAGATCACAATTAATTTCTGGGAAATCATAAATATATCATTTAAATGGATATCATAGCTTCCAGACATACAGTATGAATTTATTGGTAGGCCATCAAGATTAAATTAATAAAATCAACAATTTGAAGAATAATATTTTAAAGAAAACACAAGTACACCCACCAGATATTAATACTTTATTATTAGAAACTTGGAGGTAATGTCGAACTGGTCTTAGAACCAATTTCTTCATTTAGTAAATTTACATAAATTAAAAAAATGCAGTAGATACTATTTCTTATTTATGGAAAAAATTGCAATTTAATCGCATTTTATAATACGGTGTGAATATATTTTTAATGTAAAGAAAAAATGGGTATATCAGCACATCACCAATAAATTATTACTCCACCATTCCAAATTTATTGCCATTAAAATATTCCTAACAAAAATGCTTAAATAAGTAATTTAAACGAAACGGCCAGCCTGCCGAAGACGTGGGATTTGTAAGTTAAAATGCGAAGTGCCGAAAAATTGCGTATACGCATCGGTTGCCCAGTAAATTAAGCCATCTAGGTGGACACTTCCCTTGACTTGGGACCATTAATTATTCACCTGGCGCACAGGACACGTTTCACACCGACACCTTTTCTGGACAAGAAGTACGAAAAGTTTTGTTGCGACTGAGAAATAATAGGATTTAATGCCCTCCCCGGGCTATAGAACTGTTCAGAAATGTTTTTAATCCAAGTTTGTGCAGCTCTTAGCCGACCAAATGTTTGTACATAATTTACACGCTACAAGAAGCTCTCGAGATCTACGCACAAAAGCTGAATGGGGTGTTAGAGGGGTAACTTTGATGACATCATTATGGCTTGGGGAAACAAAAGTAACCACAGGAACATGTGGTTGTCTGCGGGTGAGTCATGTAGTTGGGCCGCCACCTTTTGGCTTTTAAAACAAATATTTCCCATTAGCAGGACTCTCGGTGACGAGCGACCACATTGCGTATACGCTACCGAAGCCCCCAAATAAATTTCCAACAAGCAACGGCAATACACCTATGTTTTTGGATGTTCTCCGGTGTGTATATGTTATTGGTTTTATATTTTTTTTTTCATACATGTATGCAAATCTGCCGCCCAAATGAACATATCGAGGTAGAAGCAATCAGTGTAAGGTACCTGGAGAAATGGCTTGAGAGGGGTTCCGACCTACTCCCTGATAAAGCTATGATGGAGTGCTCTAAACCCTCCTATACATGCCGTGTGACCATAATCATAAACCTTTTGGTATACTCTCACAGGCTGGGAAAAGAGTATGATTAAATGTGGGTATATATGTAGGTAAGGTAGTTAAGCATCTAACCTTATAAGAATTTTTTAATTACATTTTTTGTTGTAATCTTTATATGCAATAAACTCCAGTTACTGAACAAAATTGTATTATTATTCATTTATTATACCCGTTACTCGTAGAGTAAATGGCTATACTAGTTTCGTCGGAAAGTATGTAACAGGTAGAAGGGAGTGTTTCCGATCTGATAAGGTACAAACCATGTCCATCTGTTTAAACGCCGAGATCTCGGTCTCAGTCTCAATGACTTTTTTATATTTATTTACTTTCTTACATCTTTTGATTTAGGTGCTATAGATTTAGTTAACATTTCATTTAATTAGTTTTTGGACGGATCATCATTGTTGCACGCCGCATAGATTTTGAATATCCACCAAAGTTATACCAGATTACGCCTTTTTGCGTATTATCACCATAATGCCCTGCTAGATTGCTAAAATAATACGATTCGTTATTAAAATACAAAAATATTGAAGTTATGCCTTATGACACTAAAGAATAAAAAATGGTGAAAAATAATACATAGTTACAATTAATGAATGATGATGTTTAGGTAATTATGTAATTTCGACATTAATTAAGATGAGATTAATAAAATTCATTGGCATTTAATTTTTTGTTACCTGTAATGACGCGATTTGTACCACCAACCGCCTGTATAAGATTGCGCACAATGTTCCTTGGGGTATATGTCGTTATCGCGATCTTTAGTAGAAAACTTCATGAACAAGTGGGGGGTAAGTGAATCGCCGGCGTCTCCAGAAGGAGTTCCCACAGTTTCCAAGGTGTAACCACTGCTCTCTGATCCAATTCTAAAGTTGCTGAACAATTCATAGGCCTGCTTCCCCTGCTCATTTTCCAAAACAACCAGGAGTTCCTGCTGCTGATTATTGGTCATGGCGTGCAGTTTGTCCAAGCCCAGGAAGTACTCATTGCTCAAATTTCCAAATCCATTTTTGTAATCATTCCATTCGCGGTAAAAGTTCTCACTTCCATCCGTTCGTCGCAAAATAATGGTCCAACCTCCTCCCATTCTGAACTGATCGCAGGCCACTTCAAAAGTGTTTTCACTGTACTCCGGCACAAGTATCGTGCGAATGGAACGGTTTTGTGTGTCCTTTAAAGCTCCATAACAGCTGGAGGGCAACGGATTGACTCTGTTTAGAAAAGTTTCAATTTTTCTGTCCAAGTCTTCCAACAAATTTCCTAGGCGCATTTGCTCCATTCTGTTGTTTTCAAAAGATTAGACTATGTATATGGTAAAAAATCTTCGCTTAAATACATACCGTATAGGATACAGTTGTGAATCAATCGATTCAACATTGTTACAAACCGAGTTTAGAGAACACACTTGTCTTGATACTTGGCTGGCCGACGCTTTTAAAATTAACAGCGTAAATATAACTCGCAGTAGCATCGTTCACGAAATCTTATAAAGACTAAGCAAATCTTTTTTAAATCTGGCTATTTCTATGCTAAGGTAATTGGTTTATTGCATTGTCTGTTATTCTTATCACTTAAATTCTGAATATCATGTACTTATTTATTTATTGTTTAGGTGATAAGACTGCTTCTATTGGCGGCTTTTTTTAAATATAAACAAAAAATTGTACGATAAGGGTAAGGTCAGGTCAGATCAGTATAGTACATATTTTCAGAGATAATCGGCCTTGTTCCAGTTTTCACTTCCCAAAGAATTGCCTCTGTCGTTAATCTGTTAAGTTCCAAGAACTGTCACAAAAACTTTTCGCCAAGCATTCGGATGGCAAATTTTAATTAATTGTATAAAAATACTTCGCGATACTTTATATTCACACAAATAGTAACTTAACTGTTAATTATAAATACACGTATTTTCTATAGTTACTATTTAACAGTAAAACTACCATAAAATGGTGAGTTGTGTGTGTTTTGTTGTTGGGAGAGTAACTATTTTGTTGGTCAAATTAAAAGTATCAAGTAACATCAACTATCAAGTATTCACTCGGAAGTAAATTCGTTATCATTGTCAAAATATATATCCCTTACAATAATTGTTTTCAATAAATTGTATTTTTATTTAATTATATTTAATATTATCTTTAATCTAATTAATTGTTCTTAAGCGCAAGGCAACCATTTCCTTAGCTTTATTTTAATTACTTATTTTAAATAATTATTTTGTTTATCATAATTAACAGGATTAGGAGAAGTATTAAATATTAGTGGAATAAATTATTATTGTTATTTAAATTAGGTGAAATGACTTTCTATATTATTTCAATAAAATTTAGAACAAGTCCTTTAAAATCCTTTACAAAATGGCTGCCAACACACACATACCCTGTCAGCTTACGCCCTTTTTTAGGGTATAAATGTATGTGGAAAACACTTGTAAATAGCGGCAGCAGCCACAAAACACACACCGAGTGTGTGTGCAATAAAACATGCATACTTATGCAAACACGGTGTGTGTAAGTGTGTGTGTGTGTGCTAGCAACTATGCCAAGAGTCTGGCCCAAACACACACATACAGAATCCTGAATCCTGGCTGCCAAATGAAATCAGTAAAGCGCGTTTTACTGGCTTTTTAATGTCCATTTCCCGCCCGTTTTTCCCCGCATTTCCATCTGCATTTTCCGGCATCGGCATGTACAAAATTCCTACTTATGACCATAAAAATATTTACATGGCGCAACTGTATGCTTCCTCATTGTCATTTGCATGTTTTTCCTTTTATTTTCTATGCTCGGCGCTTAATGAATAAAATATGTCAGACAGTGTTTTCCTTTTCCTTGGGGGTTTTCCTTCTGTCTTTTGGCTCAACTGCTGTTGACACTTTGCAAATCCAAGGGGCACACACACACACCCACAGCCACACTCACGCCCGGTCGATTACCGGCAGGCTTCACTGTACTCCTGCATTCATTACATTATTCAGGACGACAGGGCGAATGACATAAGCTGCTTGCCACGGAAGTTGGCAGTTTGCCTTTCGGTTTGAACGTGTTTGAACGTGTTTGAACGTGTGTGCCTCTGCTTTATTTATCGGATTAACATAAGTGATTCTGCCGAGTGGCAATGGATTTTAAATTTATGTCTGTATAAATAATAAAAGCCGAGCTTTACTGTTAACTAAATTCGTTGACAAGGTAATTGGTTGCGGCGAGAACAGAGAAAGTGGCAATTAATTCAAACGAACTACTATTAATTGGTGAGATTTTAAAGCTTAAACTAATTGCTTCTCTCCTCTTTTAATTATTAAAATATTATGCATGTTATTGAATTGCCAAGCTATTTCTGAGTTTCAGCCATTTGGGTTTATATACATAAAAGTTAGTGAGCTTCCTTAAATTCATTTCAGTTTTAAATCAAAATTTACAAACCCGTTCTAAAATTAAGAAGATAAAATTTAGAATTAAATAAGTGCTTTTTTAGCTTGTTTAATTTTTGCTAATAAATACTTCTTAAATTTATTAATTTGCCCCTTTTGGTGGGCTTTTTAAAACCGAAATTTAGAATGTTAAGGTATAAAAATCAGGACCTTAAATATGAATAATATTTTAAGTCTTCTTTTGCCTTGTGTCCTTAAAGAAGGCCATAATTTTGTATTCTTTAAAGTTTTCCTTTTTTATTTATTTGTACTTATTTGTTAGGTTTTTAAAACAGTAAATATTCCAAATATTTTAAGAACCCAGACTTTTTATATGAATGAAATTTAAAGGAGACCTTGAATATAGCCTTAAAATACCTAAAAGTAGGCCATTTTTTTTTTTTTAAAGCTTTTCTTTTTTATTTATTTGTAGTTTTTTGTAGAGTTTTTAAAACAGTAAATATTCCAAATATTAAAAAAGACCAGACCTTAAATATGAATGAAATGTAAAGGAGTCTTAAAGATGTAGCCTTAAAGTACCTAAAAGTAGGCAACATTTTTCTTTAAAGCAGCAATATGCGTGTTTAACAAAGGCCAGTAAAATAAAATATATAAAACAATTATTAATAACTTTGCAGCTTCAACTTTGTTAGCAAAGCAGCACGCACATGAAGATAAAAAAGCTAAGTGAAAGCGATGGGGGCGAGTGAAAAGGACAGGGAGACACACTCCAGCTGGAAGCGAGACAAGAGCAGCCGCCGGCGACAGCAGCAACATGACAGCAGCAACAGCAACACCAGCAGCAACAGCAACAGCAGCAACATGAGCAGCAGGAGCGGCAACAGGAGCATCAATAATCCTTGACAGGCATTCGACAAGGCGCTCGCATTTGACCGCAGGGCCCAGGAGCGAGACAGGAGCACTGGGTGCGAGGGGGACGGACAATGGCCAGGATAATGCCCAAGTTGGCAGCTGTCAGCCGATGTTGTTGTTGTTGTTGCTGTTGCTCCTGTGCTGTGGGCACCACATTTATTTATTATTTTATTTTATCTGGCCACACTCGAGATTCAAATCGCTACGTGGATGCTACACAACATTTTTGTATTTTCATTTTCTTTTTTTTTTTGTTATTATTTTTGTTGCCTGCCCTCATCTCATTGTTTGTCTTCTAATTACACAAAGGTCCCGATTGCGTCAGAGGATACTTAGTCCTTGGTAATCGATTCGTGCACGTCATGTATTGGACTCTGTTTACACCGCCGACTCATTGAATATTTATACTCGATTCGCTTAGCGGACTAAAAATAGCATCCCAAGGAAACTGACGGGCAGAAGGAGAAAAGCTGCAGACAATCCCGTGCTGAAAAGGACTGGCTTAAAGTCCTTGGCTGCAATTGTCATGCAAATTCAATTAAAATATTCTGATGCGAACACGCTAAGAAATAATATTATGTTATTTAAATATTTCCTGTTTTTAACGAGTGTGATGGTTTTGAGATCTAGTCGTACACAGAGAAAAGTTGGAAGTGTTTTGTGCTCGAAATTTGAACTGACTTATCCTTTTTTTTGTTATTGGAAATATTTCAAAGAATTTATTTAACCTTTACATACTTAGTGTATACTCGTTCTTTAAGTTGGGCTGTTTAAATGTACTTTAAAAACTTGTTTTATCATTGTGTTATATAAATATAACCAACCATAACCTCCCTAAAAACTATAAGTCGAAGGCAATAAAAATAAAAAGCTAGATAAACTTTATGATATTAAATGGTTTTAAGACTTTCAAAGAGATAAAAATTCTTTTTTTAAATACGAGTTCTACTAAAGATCTTTATTTTTTTCCCAGTGCCTCAGGGTGCCACGATGTATGTTCTACTCACTTCATTAGCATCTTTTAATTAACTTGTACAAGAGTCAGCTTTATAAAGTAAGGGAGCTAGGAAGAGGGGCTCACACACATGAAATGCTGTCAAGACAGGCCGCAACTCTTTCCAAAATCCCGCGGTTTCTGTGTAACACCCAGCCCCTTACCAAAATGAAAAAAAGGGAAAACTTTCCACCCACATCCACTTGCGTCAGACATGTCGTATGCGTAATATTTTCACGACAATCAACAAGGTAGGGGTGGGAGGTGAAAAAACGGGAATGGAGCTCACAGATTTGCGCAGAGATTTGTGTCAGCAGGAAAGAAGAGGATACCGAAAATGGTGAAACACCCAGAACACATTATATATGGGTTGCTATCTCAGCAATTTTATTGATTATTCGCCAGTAGCGAATCGCCGCGTTGGCAATTTCGTAAATTGTCGTTAATTGTCTCTACCTTGGATCGATGCAATGTGCAGGCTGCACTCGTTCTCACAGAATGTCCGTCAAAAGTTATGAAGGCAACCGGAAGGTGAATGTGAATGTGAATGTGAATCCCCCCCCCTTGCATTTCCTGCATTCCTCGCATTCCTCGCATTCCTCGCATTCCTTGCCATCCTTGCAATTTCTTTGATTGCTTCAAAAGTTGAGACACTAAATTGTACGCTTGCTTATTGCTACTGCTGCTTCTCGTCGGAATTGCTTTTGATCTAAGTAGTTCTCGTGACTAAGTGCAAAAAGCTGAAACTTTCACCCATCCTCTGCTGTTCAGCAAATTATAAGGTGGCATTCTGTAGTAGCAGTTTTAAAGTTTAACAAAATGTGTACACTTTTCGAACTAGAAGCGGTCTCAATTGAAGTAGTTCTATTTAATCTTGCGTTATTCTTAATTTTGCCTTTTGAGTGTGGAGATAAACTTAACAATATGGCTTCTTAAATGCGGCTTATGTTGATTAACACATAACTTTTGGCTTTCATCAGATTTGAAGTAATAATGGCGTTTTTGTTAAAAAAATAAAGTATTTTAGGCCTTGCCATATTGGTTTTATATTTAAAAGGTTTTAAAAGTAGATTTTAACTTTATTTGATGATTTGTTTCTAAGGATTTGGTTTTGTTATTATTTTTAAGGTATGTCAATTGTTTTACTAAGTTAAAAACAAAGTCACATATGTTAATTTTTTTTCTTTAAAAATAATAAATTCTAGATTAACACACAGATAACTCTTGTTATGTCTTTTAAAAACTATCCCAAAATTTGTATAGAAATCTTTCTAATATCTAATTTTATATGCGGGAACACTTGCAAATGTTTTTTATTAATAAAGTTTCTTTATTGCTTTTTTGAGTAGAAAATAGGGGCATTAATATTAATAAACCTCCCAAAAAAATAATAAATTGTTTGAAATTCCAGGTGAATGTTTAATAATAATAAATTATAAAAATAAATATGCAAATTATATTTTCTTATCAATTAAAGTTAATTTTTTTTTAATTTATTTCTAATTGCCATAAAAAATGGTAAATACTAAAAAATGTTTCCCTTCAGAAAATAAAAAATTCTTAAATATACATTAATGCCAGTATGATTCCCCTAATAAATTACATAACATCAATGTTAATATAGTTTCACCTTGGAAATATCAATTTTAAATTGACACATAAAACCCCTAGATGCTTTTGCCAATTGCTATCCATAAGATAATAAAAAGCCATGCTGTACGGCCAACTTACCGGCTCATCTGGCAGCGTTTCCAGGACTCTTGGCTCGCATTTCTCCTCCGTTTTTTTGCCGCTAGCCGTCGCCGTCGTCGATGTTGCTGTTGCTGTTGCTGTTGCAGGTGCATGTGCAACTGGCGATGTTGCTGCTGCTGCTGCCGTTGCAGTTGCTGGCGTTGTGGGCGTGGCACTGCGCTTACGCAATCGAAAACGCTCCGCCCGACTGAGGACGGACACGCTGCTGGCGGTGGGCGTTAGCTCGTCAAAGTCAAGGCCGTTGGCATCGCGATGCAGGTGGAACTGGTACTGATGGTACTGCTGCTGCTCCTGGTGCCCCGGGGAAATGTTGTTGGAAAAGCTGCGCTTGTAGTAGGCCAAAAGAGCATCGCGCCTGCTCTCGCGGGAAAAGGGGGTGGCACCTGGGTGGGGGGTGGCCCTAGCCGTAACTGCAACTGTGGCAAGGCCGACTATCAAAAGCACCAGCAGCGAATAGAGTGTGTTTAATTGTGTGCCTCTGCTGGGTCTCCTAATGTTTTTACTCTTGATGTTGCAAGTGCTGCTGCTGCTGCTGCTGCTGGTGTGGATGTTGCAACTTGATGATGTTGCTGTTGCACTATTTGTTCGTTGGTTTTGTTGCTGCTTTGTCAGGTGGTCTCGATCTCGATCTCTGTGGCTGCTGTTGCAATTGCTTTGCTGAGTGCTCTGTACTTGAGTATTCGTTTGATTTTGGTGGCATTTCTTTTGATAGTAGTTGCTGCTGTTGCTGTTGCTGTTGCATTTGCTTTGCTGCATTTGCTGCATTGAACTCTGAGCGGTTTCTTCTTCTTGTTGTTTTGACTTTGTTGCTATGCACAGTTCCATATCACCGATGTTTGGTTGTTGTTCTTTTTTTGGTTTTTCCTCTTGTTGTGGGGCAAATAGTGGTTTTTGGTATTGTTATGGTAGAAAAAGTTCCTCGTGGGAGTGGCAGCTTCGACAGGTGTAAACCAAAATTGTGGCACAGTGGCACGCTCATCTGCAAAAATTAGAAAAGTTTTCGCTTTTGTTTAGTTTGCGGCTTAGCAAGAAAATAAATTAAAAGTTTTTTGTTTGTATAGAGGTAACATGGCTACGTTATAAAATATAACATAAAAATGCAGCATAGACCTCTATATTTCTGGGATCTCTAGAGATAGAATGCAAATATATTTTGTCTTTTATTTGTGTCACTGCTGTTCGTGTTCCGGCAGAGGATAAGCAGAACTCTTTCTTTAGCCTGCTCTATGCGATGCTCCCAATTAAAAGTCAAAATGTTAAAAAAAATTAAAAGCTTTTGTTTAATGAATGTATCAGCAAAATAGTAATAAAAACTTTTTATTTATACAATACATAAATTTCATATTTACCAACCATTACAAAGTAAACACAATCAAATTGACTGTAAACGATTGCCCTGACCGAATCGATTACTATTCAAATATTTGCGGTTAAATAATTTTTAAGTGGCCCCTGAATGTTATATTAATTTCGACTCTGCATTCGCTAAACCAATTTATTCCGATTGCCACTGCATCAATTAAAAGGCCCACAACTAAACTCTCGAATTGAAATCAGTAGCCCGAAAGTAAAATCCATACCGACATTTCCACAACCCCTTTGCCAAAATGACAGTTTTTATTGCAGCGCCAATTGGAATTTAATTGAGAATCCAGCACAAACAGCCGGTGATGACGTCCGCTAAATGTGGAAGACCAAAATGTAGATAATCGAATTTTATATGAAGTAGACTATGGGATACTCTTTATTGAATAGCATGAAATATTAATCTGTAATAGTTGTTAAAAATTTGAATTACTTTTTCATAAACAAATTCCAGACTCAGATAAAAACCTTCATGAAAAATATCAGAAATAAGTTTATAAATATAAGTTATATGATGTTTTCTATTCCTAATCATGGGGAAAATATACTATACCTATATCTGCTTATATTTACCAATTATAATATATAAAAACTGCTTGTTACTGACTTAAAATTTTATTTAAAATCAATAATTTAATTGATTTAATCCCCATTCTACTAAATACAATTGTTACTGTAAAATTACTGCAATCTGAAGTTTATAGTAAAATTGGATTTTAATTATTGGATTTATATAGATGCAGCTTATTTTAAATGCATAAATGCATAATAATAATAATTGCCTGATTAGGTGGCCATTAAAATAATTTGTCAATTTCTTAGGCAATTCAAATTAATCGCATAATCGCTTGTACAAAAATTGAATCAAAATAAATTACTGTTAACTGGGATTATTTTAAAATATGTATATATATATAACAGCACATTTTAAAGTTATTAATATTACGCATTTATGGTAAAACTGAAACGGAGTTATGGTTTATAAGGACATCCCTCGCTGCAGGATAAAGCGGCAATTTAATCGTTTTAAATTGCTCAGCTCAGACAAACTTGTGTGCAATTTTGTTCCACATTCCGAGGGGCACTCCCATGCCCCCGCCCATTTTTTTTAACCACACCCCTGAAACCAGTGCAAAAAAGAATTTGCTTAGCAAGTTACGAGTTCCCAAGGGAATGGGCGTGGCATTTGCTGCACTCAAGTGTCGCCCGGCGGTGTGCTATAGTTTTTTTCCCCTTGTTAAGCTCCCCCTGCTGTTGCAATTTGCAATTCTGATTTATGAGTTTGCCAGGGGGGGGGGGGAGGTTAAGGGTAGGGGATTCAGAGTGCGGCATTAGCCCATCAATGCGATGACAGGCCGCAAATTGGCCAAACGATTTGGAGGACGGCTACTGCCATGTGCTGGAAGGCAAACAGGTGTAAAAACAATTTCCGCTAATTGAAATTATTTTCATGGCTATGGCTGCAACTGCACGTTGGAGGATGTAGGTCTCTATTTTTTTTTTTTTTTGGAGGGTACGGATTTGTGCGGGGCACTTGGGGAAGGTGAAAGTCGGGAATAGTTGGCACATGCGCCATAAACAAGTTGTGATTACGTGATTTGGCCAGATGCCAGCAGCCAAGGGAAGGAAAAAAGTTGTCTCCCATGTCCATTTAAGGTGGGATTCCTTTCCTTAATTTACAATTCTTCAAGGATTCTAGTGGGAGAATATATTTCAAAAAATTCTCTGAGACAGTAAGCCAAGAATTTTATACAAGACACACGTTTCGTAACTGTTTTTATTCTCTTTAATTACTTTTTCATGATAATAACAGAAATTTGGTTGTATATCTTTTATAATAGATCAAAAGTATTAGGAGAATTGAAAGATTACTTTAGTTATAAATTTTAAAAAATCCGTTGTCAGTGAAATGAATAATCTAAAAAGTTTACGTTCTTAAGAAAATATCAATGTTATTAGAAAAATCGAAAGATTAATTTAGTTATACATTTTAAAAAATCCCTTGCCAGGAGAATGAATTATCTTAAAAGTTTAAGAATGCAAAATGAAACATGTTAATAGTCCATACGTTCTTAACAAAACGTGTATTAAAATTCAAGTACCTAAATTATTGTCTATAAGGGTATTCTATTTTTAGACGAACATATTTCTCCTTGTATTAAAAACAAAAATAGGTAAATATTGTTACAAGAATTCAAACTACATAACAATAACAAATCCTTTAATAATTTTTTAGAATTTTAAAATATAAGGATGAAACCCCTGAAAACCCCTCATATATCTCATAGAAAATACAATATTCCATTATATTTATTACTTTCAGTGTGGATGGGTACTAAATTCGTGTGCTGCCAAGTTTATTTTTCCGTTTCGCCCTGCCTTTGCTGCCTGTTTTCTGCCTGGCTGGTTTCACCTGGCCTCACCTTGACACCCGCTCAACTGCAGCTAATGCGGCAAGGATGCGAGAATGTATCTCTGTCTCCACAGCCATCCGTATCTGAATCTCTATCTATATCTGAATGTGTCTCCATCTGTGTGTGGGCCATTCTGTTTTTCAATTAACCGGATTTCGGGTGTAGTTACTGGCGTGTTGTGTTCATGTTTGTGCTCCACCGACTGTCACCTGCTAGTTGCATGTTTGCAGTTAGCAGTTTGCAGTTTGCAGTTTGCATTTACAAACCAATTGGCCACCTTGTTGGCCAACTGTCTTGACTTTGCTCTTGGGACTGCGGCTCAAATCAAAAATCACAAAACACAAATCACAAATCACTAACCATTGGCAGACATTTCAATCCCAAAATGGATTTGTTGAGGTTGCTGTCAGCCTCTTTATTTGTCTCCATTTGGCAACTTTGGTATGCAAATTTTATGGGCAAACAACAGAATGATATTTTGTCATATTCCCAGCTGTTGAATATTTATATTTTCTGGCAATTATTTTATTTCTGTGTGTGCAGAGCAATCAAAACCATATTTTGTGTTGAAATTGCCTTTGTAATTTGTGGAAAAACATGGGAAAAGTGGTATACGATGGCACTCTAAAACGGATTGGAATTTATTATCAACTGTTGTGATGTACATGAATGTTGCAGTAGGTGGTTTAAATAATAAAGTTGGTTGCATTTCCAAGGATTTATTGAGTTCACAAATTCTGGTGTGGAATACATGTATTTTAAAATAATTAAATTTTGATAAATATTGTATGCACCCAGGATCTGGTTAAAGAAACTAATTCGTTTAAAGAATTAAGACTTAATTTCTCAATGTCATGTCAACTTTAGTTATTGAGTTTAATTGCTATTTCACAGAAAATTGCTTTTCCAATATCATGTTAGGTTCTATTTAACTGTTAGCTCTTAATTTAACACTAATTGTTAGCTTTAGATAAATAAGAAAAATAAATTTATGTATAAACTCCTAACTAGAGGATATTTTATGGTTAAATTGTTAAGCTTTGCCTATTCTTTTTTATATGTTTGTCAGAAAGTGCTTTTTCCAATGAGAAAACGAATTTGTTTTCCGAAAAATTTAACTTTATGCTAACTTTTTTCGATAGATCACAAGGTTACCTTAAAATGACATTGAGAAATCGGTCCTTAGAATGTTTAGAAATTGTTGTTTCTCCGAAAAATTTAACTTTTTGTTATCTTTCTCTAAATGATCCCAAACAGTAAGCTTAACATGACATTGAGAAATAGGTCCTAAGATCGCTATTACATGTTTAAGGAAGGCAACTTCCCTTTCTTTATTGTAAGTAATTTATATTACTTTATAAATTTCCAATTTAGGCCATGAATTACTTCAAAGTGGCCCAAAAATAAAGAAATTAAATCATTTTGGGGATTATGTTGTAAAACAAGACTCATAATAGGAAACCATGTGAGGCTGAAATACATAAAATCCCGAGGCGTGTCTCAGGATGTAATGTCCTTTGGGCCATGGCAACATAATGAGCTAAAAATAGCAAAGACCTTAGCAGACGGGGAGCGAGCGAGACAGAGAGTAGAGTGAAAGGGAGACAGAAGACGAGAGACAAGCGAGACAAGGGCGCTTTTCATTAGACAAATGTTATTTCGCACACACGCACAGAATGGGGCACAAAGCTGGGGCGTAAAACAATCAAACAATGCAACAAAGCCGCACAGCACACACACACACACACACCCGCACACACACACACACACACTAGTACACAAAATGGTTAACAATTAAACAATGAGAGAGCAACAAGCACAGCAATTGCAGAAGGAGCACCATGGCATTATAATAAGGAGTGCCGCTGACAGGCTCGAGGACAAATTGTTCGCCGGTCTCGAACTCTCAAACTCTTGCACCCGCAGCATTCCATTGTCAAAGTCCCGCTTTGCTTAAGTCAACGCAAGCAGCATAGTACACCCACTAAACAGCTCCCCAGCGCCACCTACTTTGCAGAATCCCCTAACCCAGCAAAACCCCCGAAAAGCCAACAAATCAGACAGCATCGCTTGAAATCGCCTCCCTCGTGCCTTTGTCGAAACATTTTCAGCTAAAAGCTTCGAGTGCCGGTCCCAAAACACTTTTCCAATTAGGCTTTTCTAGATAAATTCAGCCATTTATATAGATACAATAGGTAAA